TTAATATTAATTATATGCAATTACTGATATTTTTTCTATTCCAGACCAACATCAATATTTTAGCGATTGAAATACTTATTTATTGTAACTTGTTTTTTTTTTTGCAATGATAGAAATTCCCAAACTACCAACTAGTTTTCATTCTTGAGGGAAACTATTTGAATTGTGGATCAAACTTGTGGGGTGATAATTAAGTTTTTAGGGTATGTATGTTGTATAAATTAATTTAACATTTATTATCAAACATAATTTAAATATGTGGTATGCYAAGCAATCCCTAAAAAATAAAAGTATTAACTTCTCTTTATCTATTTTTTGTAAAAGAAAAATGAATATATTTTACTATATTGTATTATAGAGATACAATTACATTAGGTGACAGTAACCAAGTTTATTTATTGAAAAACGATCATTCATTTCTCTTATTTATCGAACTAAATTTAATATTAGAAGTATTTAGTTAAAATAAATTAGAATTTGAATAAACTTTATTGTTAATACTTAATATATATATTATTTTTTTTTTATCGTATATAATAAATACCTAATACATTACCACAACTATGTCAGTGTTTAACTAAATTATTTAAAAATTAAAATAGTATAATATTGATTAATTATGTTTATTATGTTTGATTTATCATATATTTACCATAATGTATTTATAGGTAGTTGTTTATTAATAAAACATTTTGTTAGAAGTAATACAATTTTTAACTGTCAAGTTTTACGATTTTAAGAAAAATAAATTTAAATAACCTTTATTAAAACCATATATGATAAAGTATCAAAATATTGCCTTTTTGTATTTCACTGGGGTTAATGTCAACACTTCAGAATCTCTTGGCTGCTAACAGACATTATTATCTGTCTGATTTGTACCTGCATGTGTTTGACACCAGGTCCAACGTCCGTGACAACAATCTTCGGTAATTTTTTTCTATCTAAACTTCCATACCAACCGGCGTTAACCGATTTCCAGGACTTCATATTGTGAATAATATTCGCACACGACTCGCCGAAACCAACTGGATTGCCTAAAAGGGTGTACAATAGTTTCGAATTGGCATTGCCCCCTCCAGCGCTGTTATCGTTTTGAATTTAGACTGACACAATTTTTTTTTTCTTCACATTAACACATTCAACTGTAGTGATACAGTGTTATTAAACAAGTTGGTCTGTCGGACACAACCGATAGCAGTATGAAAACAGCTACCGGGCATTGGTCCAGTTTGAGTGGGTGGTAAGCTGGCTAGCCATCTGGCTTAAATACAACTTCAAAAAGAAAACAAGGGTCATTTAAACTGCTAATTTTGCGATAACTTACACAAGATTCAACTGTAATGATATAATGATGCTATATGGTAAACGCTATTGTATATACTAAATATAATAATTGATGGATACGAAAAGGTGGATAAGCACCGAGATTGCGTTTGTAAAATTAAAAATATTCATTTTTAATAAAAAAAAGTACTAACATTCTGAATAGGTTATAAATCCAGCATGGCATATTTCATGCATAAATAACAAATTATAAAACACATTGGTTTTACATTTGTCACGACCCCAAAATTAAATGTATAATATTAATGTTCAGAATACATTTTTATTTGAATGTTTGCATGATTACAATTTATCGTATAAATATGCAATCATTTTTCAAATGTTTAAATTATATTTTGTGCAGCAGAATATAATTTATTAAAAATTT